AAGGTCCATATTAGAGTTTTGCAAATAATAAAAACCTTAAGTGACTGTAAATACTGAAAAGCAAAATTTTTCCTCCTCTCTGAAGTTGAAACAGCCATATACTAGAAAGTACAGTGACACTTATGACATAGAGAACAATAGCAATACCTTGGTTGTAGCAATAAAACTGATATGTTCAGACAGACTGTAAAAAGCGGATCACAAAAAGCTGAACAATAATATGATGGTTTCATTATACAAGCTTTACATACAGCAGAAAGATCTCATGTCTGGCCTGTTAGTATTTCATTGGAAATAAAGATGTATGGAACAGTGCTGGACATGCCTGACACCACAGATTTCATACAGGCCTACGGTCTTTTAATCTGAAACCACCAAGCGTCATGCCAACATGTATACGTGCATTCCCACGTGGGCGTGCAGATGTGTTTGTTATGTACATATATATATGTACCTGTACATGTATGTCTATATATGTGTGTGGGTGTGTATAGTGCATATCAGCAAGCATATATATATATGCACCAATGCCCATACGTACACGTGTGTGTGTGTGTGTGTGTGTGTGTGTGTGTGTGTGTGTGCGAGCATGTATATATATATATATATATATGCATGTCTGGGCATAGGTGTTTAATCACAACATACAGTTAGGATTAACATAAAATGTTCCATCTTTGTTCACTGTATGTGATATTACAAACTGGTCTTCATGCATGGTGCCGGTTTCTGCGATCCAAGTTCAAGGTGTTATCTTTGTGCCAAAAAACTGCATGGCTATAAAGAAGACAGTTATTAATGGAGGCAGCCAGGTTAATGTAGAAGCAACACTTGGTTGATAGATGTAATGTCCAGGTCCCTTCATTAGCAAGAGGGGTGACCATTTATTCACCCTCACAAAACTGCATGTCACTCTGGAAGGAAAAATTATAATCGAAGCGACAAAGTAAGAGCACTAAGCTTGATACTTTCTCAAAGGTAGGGCAAGAAAGAAAATTAGGAGGGCAGGTGTGAGAAAAACTAGATAAAAACAGATAGACCTAGCATGAAATATTTTGAGAGTAGGCTACTGGAAATTTAGTGGACAGTATGTATTCCAGTTATAACCCTGGCGATCGAACAGGATACTATTTACATGAATATTACTCCTACTATTTTCCAACATCCACTTCCACTTGTGAAAAATGAGGTATGAAACTTTTAAAAAATAGGCATCTAACTAGGTTATATTTTATCTGAGAATGGGGCACCTAGCCTTCTTAGGATATGCCCCCCCCCCCCCCCAACACAGATTACCGTGTGCACATTGTGCAAAATGTAAATCCACCAGCTTAGCAGCTGGAAAATATAGGATGATTGTTATAGCAGTAGCATTTATATTAGTAATACTAAATACCCTTCAAGGTTATAACTGAGTCATAAAGAGCTTATATTTTTCATCATCATCATGTAGCAGGTCTTTTGCAGAACGTCACTCTTATCACGGCCTGCCTGAAAGAAAATCGGTCTCTCGTCAGCTCTCCCGCCTCATGTACTTTCATATTCAAGGAGTCACTTATATCCTGTGCCCATCTTCGTGATGGTCAGCCCCTGCCCCTCCTTCCTGGTACCATGCCCTCTGCTATAATATTTTCAAATCCGTTGTGGAGCTTGATATGACCAAAATATTTTAGCTTCTGAAATAGAATGCTGTTAATTAGCCAATATTCGGTGATGTTCAGATCTTTCAAGATGTCAGTATTTCTACTCTTTTTCGTCCAAGATATTCTGAGAACCTTTCTATAGCATTTCAGCTCAAAACCCCCATATTCTCTCTTTCTTAAGGACTGGGAGAGTCCACGACTTACATCCGTATGTTGCTGCAGGGAAGATGCATGCTCTCAAAATTATAATTTTGATCTCATTGGTGCTTAACCGTAGACTTTTTTAGGCTGTTTAGTCTTTGCATTGCTTTGGCCATCCTCCTTTTAATTTATATCAAACAGTCTCCATTGCTATTTATTACAGAGCCTAGATATTCAAAGTTTGTGACATTTTCAATTTCTTCACCATTTATTGTTATTTTTGGGTGACAGCCAGTTTTATCTGTGGATGTTATTTTCGTTTTCTTTAAATTCAAGAACAGATTTTGATCTAAACTGTTTTTGGACAGCTACTTTTCAGATACTGTTAATATTTTGTTAACTGACACATGTGGTTATTCGTGCTATATCATTATTTTCAGAAAACTTTATTCGCACCCATCAAAAGTATACAGCTTTTTCATAAGCGACTTAAATTATTAGAACTTTGTTTTGCAACACTGATACATTATGTGACATACTGTTTAACCAGACCCTGTAGTTCTCCATGACTGTCTATCTGTTAGTCAGTCATTCATGTTTCTGTGCAGAACCTTGCTCCCAAAACAACCCTCCGAAAAATTTCTCGATCACAAGCAAGATGTCCAGCCTCCGATACACACATTTGGAGATCATCCACCACATCCTGCACCCATCTTTCTTTGGCTTTCCTCTTCCTCTCTTTCCAGGCATATACCCCTCCATTATTGTTCTCTCTAAACTTTCATGACATTTTAAGTGCTCAAAATATTTCAGTTTTCTGTGTTTTATCGTCTTTAACCCTCTGGAGACGGATACTTTTTTGAGTTTCAGTGAAAAAAAAGATGAAGCCTTCAGCAGGAGATTCTCACAGATTATACACAAAAAATGATAGAAAATAAATTGTTTGATAAGCATATAAAAAAACTATTTATATTCGTGTAGGAAATTAAATGAGCTAACAGAAAATTTATGAATCAAACTGAAATCTCAACATTTATTCAAATTAACTATTCTGCTTTCATAATTTATACAAACATTTCTTTTTTAAAACTTGGGAACAAACATGACTAACCTAAAAAGTGTGGGTGAATTTTTTGATGGATGAAGCTTGAATAAGTGCTAACACTTGTGTTTTGGGAAGTAAGGCCCTTGGAGGCCCTTCAGACACTTTTGGCACATGGTTCTACTAATTTTTCTGCCTCCAGCATTGTTTCGGTTGCTATGACGCAATAGTCCTTTTTGGAATTGTATAAGGCACAGGTGACCCCAGAAAAAAATTGATTTAAAATTTCTGAACACACAAAACTTTCTCAAAAGCCATCAATGAACAGCCCACATGTGCACAAAATATGAGAAGCAGTCTGACTGGCTGGAACAAAAAAATGCCAGCCAATATCAAGGCTTCTATTAAATAGGGCTGATCGATCAGCCCAGTCGTCCTTTTGGCTACTCTACTTTGTGTCAGGCCGGTATTTCGGCCACATTGTCTCCAGAAAATTAATAGCCAACCTTCTTCAATATTCAGTTCTTGAAGTATGGATGCATTTGTTTTTTCTTTACCCATGATATTCTTTTAAAAAAAAATTGCTGATACAAGGTGACACGATTTTATTGACATGTAAAGATCATGCTATATATAATTATATACCAACTCACTTGTTTTTCAATAAGCACCTTATGAGTTACTAGTTAAAAATGGTTTAAGGTAAAAAGTATCCACTTCATTGCACCTCATTTTACTCAATATGGCTCAATCTCTCTCTCTGTACAATAGTTAGTCATCTGTCAAGAATGATGCACAAAGCCTAACCTCCATAGCTGTAGCAACAATTCCCAGAGCCTACAACTTTTGAACCATAAATTAAATGACTTACTAACTTAACCACTGTGTTTTCTGCCTTAACTGTATAGTATTAACATATTTGAAAATATTTTAATAGAGCAGTGTGTTAAATATTTTATATGCTATCTAACTCATAGTAATTAAAATTTACACACTGATTGGATGTTTTCTGATCATAATGAAACACTGTGGGCACAGAAAAATATTTTTTTCAAAACATATCAGAAACCAATCTTTGTGAAACTTCATATGCTTGTGTAAAAAGGAACACAGAATGCAAACAATCATCAGAAATTGCAGTAATTAGGAGACAAGAACAAACTTTTACATACCCTCTGAGAGACTGAAAATAGCCAACTTACGACGCAAAGCGAAAATGGAAAAATATGTGGTTTCACAGCCAGTATGAGCTAGATATCAGTCAAATAACTCGTACAGTAATACTGACATTTAAACAAGAGTAAAGTGTACCAAATAATATTTACACAACTAGTGTTAATTTTCTGAATTTTTCATGGTCGCAATAAGTTTAAATATACTGGACCGAAAGTATGAATTTAATGGTTGGCTAGCGCCCATGACAACAGCATCCCTAGATCATTAGAGGTTCTAGTCACAGCATTATCATAAATAAATTTATATACGCAGCTTTCTTTCAAGCTTTGATTTTACTAGTCATTAGTATCCATTCTCTTGTAACTTTTTATTGCTCACACTGCTGAATTAATGTAATCTAGTGGTAGCAGTAATTTTTCAAACATATCCTGTTTAACCCGCAGGGTTATAATTGGGATATATATTATATAGTGTTAATTGAGTTCACATAGTGTATATATATATATATATATATATATATATATATATATATATATATATATATATATATATATATATATATATATAAATGGGCTCTCCTGTCAAATCCGGACGAAGAATAAAAATCCAAGGCTTTTTATTCTTCGTCCGGATTTGACAGGAGTACCTATAAATGTTATATGTTATTTTATATGTAATGATTACAGAACAATTACTATAATCAGTAATCTGTCTCAAAATTGCACAATTTTTTCTCTAAAATGTCTTGCTTTTTTGTGTCCTCTTGTCTATTCATTCAGTTATATATTATTTTCAATCAAATATCAAAAGATGTAGGTCTGACTTAAAAAAAAAAAAAACTATAATACACTACTTTTTTCAAGATGAGAATGATTCTCATAAAAAAAAAGTAGTGTATTGTTTGGGTTTTTTGCTGTTGTTTTGTTTAGAATCAGACAGTGATTAGTTTTATTAGCAATTTAAAGTGTAAGATTAATGAATTTGATAAAAATTCTTACCTCCATGTTTGAGAGCAGGGCCAGATTCAAGTGGAATCACCAACAAAGGAAAAATTCCACTCAAACCTACTAGAAGCGCTCCAATTATGGAGAAAATCCAGATTTCATTTATCCGTCGACTGCTGTCTAAGGGAACTTCATCGGTCAATCCTAAACTGAAGGAATTTATAGAAGCACCGCTACCACCAGCTTCTTGATCGTAAAGTTGAGAACCTTTTATGTCAACGAGCATTGTTGCACCACGTCAGCAAATAAAAAACTAAACAGTAAATAAATGTGAATCACTACTGAATCAGTGGCAATACACTATTCAGCAATGGTGAATAAACAGTATAGTAATGCGGTTCAGTGTAGCATGTGTACTAGTAGCATCTTCTTTACAAAATCCTTCCCGACGCTTTCACGCTATGACGTTAAGCTACCCTGATAATATTATTTAATATTGCCCATGTTTGCCTGTCACGATAACACGAACTGATAAAGGCAAGGATGGTGTGACAACTGAGCAAGCTGTGATCGGTAGTTAACGTTCTTGTCGGCTAGCGTGAACTATCGTCGACCTTCTCTGGGTCAATGGTATTAACTATTAAACTTTACTATTGACAATGACCCATGACCTGATTATTCTATTCATGTCGCAACGTATGTCTGTAGTATCGCAAACTTATCTGAAATATTCTGTTCGTCCGTTTCTACGGTGTATTTTGACCCAGGCACAGTTTGCCATTTATTCGCACTTAACAAATCCCCTTGTATTTGTTTGCTTTGTCGAGGTGAAGTATCACGTACGAGAGAGTGCCAGTCTATGTACTCATTGATTCATTCATTTAATCATCCTGTTGTCCCATTATAATTATACGTTACATAAGGCTCGCAGTCTGTTCCCCAATTCCGTTATATCCTGCGTAATCAGTTCAGTATCAGATGGAATCCAGTCCAGCACCGCTGGCATCTCTCATCTGTGTTCGTTTTAGGTTTTCGTTTGGGCTGCCAAGCCTCCTTCATCCCTTTATTTCTTATTTTAATGCCTGTTTGACGAATCTCTGCTGGTTTCTTTTGTCCATTGTAGTGTCAATGTCTCAGTCTTATGTTGCCTTGTTGACACTAGTCATCATTTTCCGCAGACAGTTGTTTTCAAATGCCTTGAACATTCGTTACGCCTTGAATAATAGTTCTCCAACTTTCACTGGCATATGTTAAAAGTGAAATATCACTAGAACTCAAAATACGTAGCTTGGTTTTAAAACTAAACAATTCAAAGTTCTATATCTTGTTCAAGCTATTAAAAGTTTCTGACAATTTGACACTGCGAATGATAATTTCTGTATTTGAATTTTCTTCACTATGGGCATTGCTACCTTAATAAGTAAATCGATCTGATACTTAATTATTTTTATCTTTAGTGTTACATCTGCTTGATCTGTTGTTGATGTATTTAATGTATTTGTCTTTTCATAACGTATTTTTAGTTCAGCCTCTGATGCTATATTTGCTAAATCGTCTGTTTTCCCCTCTGCATGTCATTGCTGTTTGAACTTAGCAGAATAATATCACCAGCAAGATCTCTGTACTCACTCGAGAGTTAAATAATGGACTGGTTACATGGCCAGAACAAAAACGCTAACCATGAAAGCAAAGCATGCCGTCAAAACAGGCATCACTTATCTATGATGAAACCACCAGCCCCAGCACAAGACGACTATTTTATTTTGGACAGATCAGAATAAGTCATTATCCTCTGCCTCAGAACAGGGCACAACCGATTACGTAACCACATGTACACAAAATTCAAGATAGGCGTATCAGCCTTGTGCACCTGTGGAGAGGTGCCCCAGACAGCAGAGCATGTACTCCGGGACTGCACCGAATTTGACACATTAAGGCAAACCTTTTGGCCAGAAAAAACAACATTGGAACGTAAACTCTATGGACCACTGAATGAATTAACAACAGTGAAATTTATACAAGAGACAATATTGTTGATATGGACAACTTATTTCAGGCGAACGAAAGAAGAAGAAGAACCTATCTATGATATTTCTAACGCCGTCATGTCAGTATACGACAGGTAACCAGCCATTGTATTTATCTAGTGAAAGTTGCGTCGTTACACATACAACGTGGAGCCAAAGGTGCACATTATCTTTGTTTCAGTCTCGTAAAAGTTCTACATAGACAGTTGAATTGATGAGATAAGTTAATGAAGATCAAGATATCGAATTCAGCATCATATTCATCTGCCGTCATTCTCCCAGTCACACATAAGTCTTCGCGTCTGTTTTCTGACCCCGACAATGAGTTTGTCATTCGTCAAAAGCATCAGGTACCAGAACCTAGCTCTCATCACAGCCTATCTGACAAAAACTCTGTCACGCACCAGATCTCCCACCTCGTTCGCTGTCCTGCCTAAAGTGTCACTTCTATCCCATCTGTACCCATCTTGGTTATAGTCGACCCCTCCTGTCTTTCCTGTCACGATACCCTTCGCTAGTATTTTTTTCCAGTTGACGTCGGCGCTTGATATGGCCTAACTTTAACTGGAGATTGCTTTTCACTTTAACCAGAGCAACAGAACAGCTTCAGTACCCCATGATTGGGTACACAGCAACCGAATCCCACTTCCAAAACCAGACAAAGACTATTCCAGATTCAGCGGTTTCAGCTCTACAAAATACTTTTGGCAATGTGCTAGAGATTATCATTGGTAAAATGCAAATCTTTTTGGAAAGAGAAGAGCTCCTACTCAAAAGGTTTGGATAGTTAACGGCCACGGAAAGACACCGTGTCAAATGCAGCTGCTTTTGCTTTTGATGTTTATGAAGGGTTCCAGTTGTGGCAGCACTTGATCTTGAGGACACCTACAATAGGGTCAGATATAATATTTTGATATCTGCTCTCATGAAGAAGGAGGGTTTATCCCTGACTTGTGAACTGGATAGCAGATGTCCTGCATCCACGTATGTTTGCCCTTCGCCTTTATACATGGACTTCAGAACCATATAATATCACCTTGAGACTACACCAGGGTTCTGTAATTTCACCTGTGCTCTTTAAAGTGTATACAAGCAGGATTAGAGAACTTATGGCACCAGATGTTGGAAGGATACTGACATTTGCAGACGATGTTTTTGCGTATATACAGGGAAGTGATATGCAATGGATACCCAAGAGCTACAGGCAACTGTAGACAAAGTGACTGACTGGTGTACTGAAGTGGGTGCTATCATCAACTCAGAAAAGCGGCTGTTTTGTGGTGCTCTCTTGACAATAGAACTGTAAAAGCTAATGTTCCAAGCCTCACAATTAATAACAGTAACATCACAAGAGAAAGTAGAACTGGGGTACCTGGGTATCGTTATCTATAGAAGCCTGTCCTTTAGGGATCGTGTTTATAGCAAAGACAAATGGACGACGCTTAGTGCAAAAAAATCTAGCATATGATATCACAATGTCTAGTTTGAGAATGGAGGTGGAGGCAGTCACTACAGCCTTCCGTTGGCTTAAGAATCAGCTGTACACACATGCCGTGATTGTAACGGACTCACAGAGTATGTTGACAAAGGTGGAGACAATCGTGCTCCGCGCAGAGTGGCAAGCATCACTTCAGAGGTCCCAATTAGCGTCCTTTGGACATTTTCTCCAAGTCATTCCGGTGTGTTTGGAAATGAGCAGGCAGAAAGTATGGCCGCGTCTGCACTACTGGGTGGTGAATTGATGTATGTCAAACTAGATGTTGTGAGGAACATTTGGTAAGCAGTGAGGAGGCACAAATAATTCATTACGATCCGAGGAGAATGGCAACTGCGGGACGGATATACAATTAGACAGTTACTGGTACCATCGGAATTGGAACTCTTCGCTTGCTGCTGAAGATGGGAACGGAGCGCTTATGGGCTTATCCCGAGTGATGTGATGTTGATTCTTAATTCATCATTCAATAACATTCAACATTTGGACAGAACAATTTTGATAGATAGTGAAAGCTTTGTATTTTGAGTTGTTTGCTCTTATGTGCATGGAGTTGTTCATACGTTTACATTTTTCTGTTAGGCTCAAGCTCTGGAGGCCAGAAGTTGCCTTCAGCTCATTAATCGGTGTGCTTCTGAACCCCCGGTGATGATTCTGAGACCAAAGTTCTGAATTTTGTCGTCAAGTTTATATAGATTCGATTTGGCTGCAGTGGGGTATGCTCCCACACCATACTCCAGTTTTGGTCGTACGTATCCCGTGTTTACTTATCGTACTGAGTTGGCATCTGAAGCCCAGCTTGTTCGAGTAAGTTTCCTTTTTATAACCTTTGTTAAAGGTGGGTCAGATAAATTAATGAAGGAAAAAAACTCCCTGGCTGTATCACTACTAAGCACTAAACAGAGATAATCTGTATCCATTTCGCACAACTAAAAGTTTTGTCTGTCTACGGACTTACCTAGAAAATCGTAAAAAAAATAATTCTGACATCCTAAAATCTTCTTCCTGGTAACCGAAGAAACCTAGCCGCATAGGAAGATCCCATAACATTTTCTTTTTTTACAAGCCCTGCCCCGAAAAGACTGTCAGAAAGGTGCGTCCTCGTTTTTAAGAGAGGGAATTATTTAGTTGTCATGCAGTGTCGTCTACTTCTTCTTTTTTCTCTCGCTTGAAATAAGTTGTCTATATCAGCAATTTTTCTCTCGTATAAATTTCACTGATGTTATTAGTTCATTCAGTAGCCCATAAAGTTTACGTTCCACGGTTGTTCCGTCTGGCTAAAAGGGTTGCCTTAAAGTGTCAAGTTCGGTGCAGTCCTTGAGCACATGCTCTGCTGTCTGGGGCACCTTTCCACAGGTGTACATGGCTTTTTTTTTTTGGTGGTAGGTAACTGGTACATTCGGCTGCTCTTTTGTCGCACCTTCCACTACCAATTGATCAGCTTTCTCATTTCCAGGCACTGCACAATTTGACCGTATCCACTGCATTACGATTTTTTGTTGACAGCTGAGTTATGTCAGCAGTGTTTGCTATTCTGATAGTTTCCTAGACTGGAGTGCTTCAAGTACGGATTTTGCATCTGTCAGTTTTACCATATATTGGGAGCCAGCATTGGTATTTAGCAGTTTCTTTATTGCTATCTTGATAGCCTGGATTTCTGCATCATAGTTATCGTAGTACTTCCCGGTTGGCACACTGGTCTTATCCCTAGTACTATCTGGGAATTATATGTATTCTCCAGCCCTACCATTTCTGCAGACCCATCTGTATAGACTTAGACCCATCGTTCTTGTAAATATTCTTCATCAATATAACCGAGGGTAGCCATTCTGCGTTGTATACTAACTAGCTCTTTCTTGTCAAATATTTTGTTCTCACATTTGTTTGGATTTGTACTGTTAGTTTGCATTTTCCTCTCCGTGGGGTTTGTTCTGGAATACCTTTAAGTGGATAGCCAATTTCTAGAAGATCAGTAGTTTGTCTATTTGATAATTAGTAAACAAGCACAGTCAATATGAAATTGATATGTGCAATAATTTTTTTTTACCCAGAGCAGTTTTTTAACAGTACTTATAGCACTACTAAATATTTATCCTCAAGGTACAAACAGCACAAACAAATTTGTCTAATTTCATCTTGTTGGATAAAATCAGCTCCTTATCATTGTGCATTTGTTTGTAACTGTTTAAAAATACATCACACGTATTTCCGAATACTGCATGCAACATTGCATATAAGAATTATGAATGGTATATTATTTTAAAGGCAAGTGAAGCACATTAAAACAGACCATACAACTGCAAATGACGTGCAACATAAACATATCATACACAAAAATTCCCCATATAGATACCAGGTCTCATTGTTCAAAACAGTGTGCAGATGAACAATCAGAAGTTTCTGTCAGAATAACTGAATTGCTTGGGATGTACCGTTTCCAGCTCAAGATATATAGTGAGATGTACCGCTCAAGATATATAGTGAGATGTCCCGTTTCCAGCTCAAGATATATAGTGAGATGTCCCGTTTCCAGCTCAAAATATATAGTGAGATGTACCGTTTCCAACTCAAGATATATAGTGAGATGTACCGTTTCCAGCTCAAGATATTTAGTGAGATGTACCGTTTCCAGCTGAAGATATATAGTGAGATGTCCCGTTTCCAAATCAAGATATTAGTGGGATGTCCCGTTTCCAGCTCAAGATATTATGGTCACCCTAATCATCTGTCATTTTAGAATGTTAACCGGCTGAGTAGGAACGGATAACTAATGAGGTGTTTGGAGCAGAAGGTATGGTGCAATGAAAGAGGTACAGCGCGAAAAGTCCACATCTGGTAGTAAAGTGAAGAGGCGGAAAATATGGCGAGAAACATTTTCTTTCAGTCAGGCTATGACGATAGCGATGTTCTGTAATGTAGAAGGCCTACTACATGACGATGATGGTCTGGAGCAGAAAGTTAGACATACAATAGATGTTTCCATTAACTGTACATAGAAGACATTGACGTCATCTCAAGTTTAGACAGCCAAGGCTCTCTTGTGTCTACATATTGGCAGGGAACGGCGCACGTGTATCCAGTTCCTGCTCTCGCACACATTCTCTGGCACCGGGCAAGCACACGACCCGAACACGGAGCCTACATTCTCGAACTAAAAATAGAATGTCTGTTGCCGGAGGCTGAGACTTCTACTGCTGTTTAGCAGCACGAATGCACGTAATGAAAATTTGCCTTATTTCGTAACTGCAGAAGGTTTCAAGTTAAAAAAAATATGGATGCGGCATTTCGAACTACTATTTTTGACATTGCACAAGATGCATCGCAAGCTGCAGCGGCACATAACGACAACGACGCTCATATGAAAAGAGTGGTTAGTATAGTTAACTAGCATTTCTTCGTGTTGATTCCACTGTGCAGTGTCACTGTCAGTATTTTAAAGGTAGCCTTACAATCTCACATTTGTTACATTTGAATTTGCACTGATGACCAATCAGAAGACTGTGCAACTAAAATCACCGTCAAATGTTTCAAACGCAGTTAAATGTATGTAGATAACACACAAACACGCACTCATAGATAGAAATAGGTAATTATTCATCGTAAATTCAAATAAGTATGGGGAACAGTCAAGGTTAAGACGAAGCTGGTTATTATGGCGCACATCTAATGTAGTGTTATATTGACATGACAATAATTTTTAGCACAACGGAGTTTCCTACCCATATATAGGGATGGTAGTGAAGTTTTATTTTTTGGATTTTTACTTACAAAATTATAACAGCTAGATAAAGATTAAAATTACAAATCAAATGGTACCTCATTTAAGCCTGTAAGTCGATTCTAAGCGGAGATATTACCATTTTAGTAGAGGACACCAGGACAGAACAATTGTAGTGAAAATCCAGAAAACATGGCTTCCGGCTGCGACCCTGTGAGATGAAATGACTCAATGTTTGATTTTAGGGCCATAACTTTTTTGTTTCTGAACGAATCCCTTAGCAACCAAATATTGCTGGAAGCAGGACAGTTAGACCTAACTGTCTATGCACGTTTTAAAAACATAGAATACATTATGCACCTAATTAACATATGAAAATGGCCGCCAGCTCACTATTTTCAAGCAAAACATTATACCTGTAAGGTTATCCGCCAGCCAGCCTGGCGACATGCATATCAAATTGTGAGTCCCAACAAGGTGAACAGAAAGATCATATAAATGTGCCAATGTCAGTTGACGTGACCTAATTAACATATGAAAATGGCTGCCAGCTCACTATTTTCAAGCAAAACATTATAACTGTAAGGTTATCCGCCAGCGAGCCTGGCGACATGCATATCAAATTGTGCGTCCCGACAAGGTGAACACAAAGATCATATAAATGTGCCAATGTCAGTTGACGTGACCTAATTAACATATGAAAATGGCCATCAATTGACTTTCTTTCAGCAAAAACCGTATACATTTATAGTTGTCAATGAGTTGTGTACTGGAACCAATAGGGGCATAAAAATATACAAAGACCATAAAAACACACGCAGAAGGGAGCTAGAAAGTGAAGTTAAAAAGATAGGAGAGACACTAAGAGCAAATCCCTCGTGTGGGTTCCGGGGCCCTATTGTGGGGAAAACAAGAATAAACCCACTGTCTCCCCAAAAGCATGTCGTAAGAGTCGACTAACTGGGGAGCTTCCTTTGAAGTCGGAGTGCATTTGCCTGAGAGGCAAGGAACCAGCAGTCTGCATTCAATTGAATCAGATCTGTAAAACTGATGCATACGCAACACTCAGGTTCTGGAGCAGGACTGCAGTCCACAAGTGGACGAACAACCAGAACTTTACGCCATAGTGTACAGCTGGTGAACAAGAAGAAGAAGAAGAAGACTAAGAGCAAATGTAATAGCAATGACTATAATGACAGCGCGAGTTGATTGAGGACTAATGCCCCATTAGGGTATAGAAGGCAGAAGAAAAAAGACACAGTTTGGCAATATGTTTTTGACAAAATTAACATAGAAAGTGTATGAACGTGAATGTCTTTACTACATGAAGCACCTAAAAGTATCAACTAGTAATGATGCCACAGTGAGAAATGAATGATAACGTGCATACATGAGGGATAACAATAAATAGCACTAATGTTCTTTCATTTGAAAAAAAGGGAGATTGAGATAGATACATATAAAATGTAGACAGACAGACAGAGACAGCATGGATGATTGATATACCGTGGGATTTTGATGTGATTATACATTCACCACAGCTTCACACATGCTGCTGCTATATCTATAAAGCCACTATACAGTGTTGCTTTCATATACATATCACTGCTTCTGTCTTGTTGTGTAGGAGTACATAAGACATCAGTCTAGGCATACACTAATAACAGAGACAGCATGGATAATTGATATACCGTGGGATTTTGATGTGATTATACATTCACCACAGCTTCACACATGCTGCTACTATATCTATATAGCCACTATGGAAACATCCATCTGGCAGGTGGAATAGTACAACAAGGATCATTGTTATACAGTGTTGTCTTCATATACATATCACTGCTTCTCTCTTGTTGTGTAGGAGTACATAAGACAACAGTCTAGGCATAGACTAATAACAGAGACAGCATGGATGATTGATATACTGTGGGATTTCATGTGATTATACATTCGTCACAGCTTCTCCGGAAAACAACTGCTATTGTGTTGTAAAAAAAAAGTAAAAAATTATTGTAGTATCCATGTTTGCCCAGCATCCAAGAGCAAAACATTTACACTGGTATGCATCACGACCAGTCGACACACAGAGAATTGTATTTAGTGAATGGAAAATCTCACATAGACTGCTTAAAATTATATGGGATCTGAGCAAATTGAATGCATGAGACAGCAGAGCCAGGGAATACCACAGGAGAGGACATACAGTGGGGATAGCAACAAGTCGAAAGACAGAGACAGGTAAAAAATGAAAAGAGGCAGTGACCCAGAGAATAACAGTCAGGAAAAAGTCACACACTAAAAATGAATATAAAATAAAGTTACCAATACAATATACAATAAGCTAACTCATTGACACATTGATAAACACTCAAAACCATTTGATGTGTTGCAACAAATGACACCATATATAAAAATTAGGTGTACCTTCAGTATTTGTTAAACCTGCCAGTAAAGCAACTAAGCTCACTTTTGAAATGCCTTTTCCATATAATACCAGCCTGTGAGACAGTGTGAGCTCAACAGCTCTTTTGTTATAAATCAAAACCAATAATAAAAATCTTCTTATTCATGTAAGACATACTGATGAATGATAGAAACACTGACCACAAGTACATACAATTTTACAAAAATGATAAATCCCCCAGTGCGAAGTCAACTAAAAACTGTTTAACATTCATACTACAAAAGTCACTTGATGGCTCATCATGTTCTCTCCAGTACCACAAATCAATAACTTTCTTACATTTATCTTTTGTTTGTGTGGTTCCCACATTCCTAACCATCTCAAAGTAAACACAGTCCTGGCCCTCTTGATGCCAAACATGTCACAGTATTACATTTGATAAACTTGCATTATCAGTTAAAAACCTCTCTAAATGAATTTTGGATGTACTATCTAAATCATTAAAGATTTTCAACCGTAGCAGTGCAGGAACTAGCCCTATCTGAGCTACTGCAGCCTTCAGCTCCTTCTCATAAGCATCTCTGCAAGCTTTATAATTTTTATGTAAAGCCATCCTCTCATTGGCTTGCTCTCTCTCACATGTTTTCTGTCTAACCCTCATTGCCTGTTTCATAGCAAAATCAACAAATTGCTGCAGCTGATTATTCGGAAGGGAATCTAGCCAGACCAATGTATGATTTTGTGTAGCCTTTGTCTTGGCTTCACTGAAGCATAGGTTAGCATGCCGGGCTCTTCTCATTAAGGCATCCATCAAGCCCAGAGTCCGCTCAGCATGCATATTATGAGTAGGAGCTGAAGCTGTTAGTTCTATAAACTCTGGTGACTCAGGAGGGATGGTCCCATCAAAATAATATTTCAACTGTCTTTCAAGAACAATAATAAATTCATGCAATAAACATTTTACTGTCTCCACAAACTCATCCGAGGTGGCCACCTCCATGTGTCTTAGTTCAGGCTGCACGTCCATCATCTCATTTCCAAATGCATCAAGTTGTGTGTCCAGTAAGCCCTCTGGTCTGTCTACCAAGCTTTTCAGTGCCTGCAGGCAAGGTCTGAAGGCCTCAGCCTAGATTAAGGAAATGTTAGAAGTAAACATGACAGACTCATAGTAAGCACTTAGAATTTCAAAGCAGTTTTCATGTGTTATAAATAATGTGACTGTACAGTGTTACATATTTCAAATGTTAAGCATTGTTATTGCATTACTTTTAACAGCATGCAGTGAAACAAAATAATGTCTTTGGTAAAAATTGCATTCAACTCCATACTATTCATGAGAATACTTAAGTGGTAAACAATGTAGAACGTTACAGATGATACATAAAACATAAAAAGGTGCAAATGTGAAAACTGTCATGACTAAAAACATCTCATTTTGAACATAAACTGTAAATGTTTTTTTCTATGGTATGACCTATTGTGTGTATACTGCATATATAATCTTCTTCATCTTCACGTTCACTGGCTAGAAACCCCGGGGGAAAGTTCTGGCTGTTTGTCCACTTCTGGACCCTAGTCTTTTGACAGAACCTGATTGTTGCCTGTGCATCCATTTTACAGTTAAGACTCATTTGCATGCAGACTGTTGGTTCTGTAACTCTCAGACAGGTGCACTCTGACTTCGAAAGATGCTCCCAATTAATTAACTCGTACGACATCCACACACACACAAAAAATGTTCAATTTAGTGCCAGAATTTGTGAAATTCGTGATCAAGATATGGGCAGGTAAAAATATCTCCAACATAAAATTCTGTAAACTCTAAATAATGACAAACACATGAAAAAATGGTACAATGTTTGTGGATGTTTAAAAAGTAACTCACATAACATTGTCAATTTACTAAGCATCCTAAGTTAATTACCAAAGAATCATCACCAAAGAATCATCTTACCAGTGATGGCCTAAATTAATTATTGGGATTTGGGGGTGATCAGGCAAAAATATCTCCAACAGAGAATACGAAGGGCTCTAAATAATGACAGATGCATGAACAAATGCTACAATGGTTGTGGATTTAAAAAAAAAATGATTAAAATAACGTAAGGTAATTTAATAATTATTTTAAGTTAATTGTAGAGCGGCAAAAACGGTCTCCTAGTGAAAACATATTGGATTTGAAGCGAAAACAGTGATGCTACTAAACAATTTTTTTTTTTAAACATGTGCTGTATTGCCAATCTTTGGG